CATTTACTTTGGCTACGGGATGTGGAACAGCACGCTGGAGATCAGTGCCCGCGAGGAGGCCCTCCACCAGAGCACCTACCAGCGCTATGATGTGGACGTTGACCCTTTCTCAGTGGACGACGGCTTCTCCTACGCCACCGAGGGTGAGAGCTACCCAGACTGGGGCCCTCCCGAGGACAAGGGCTTCTCATACCAGCAAATGGCAGGAGCAAAGGAAAGCCATCGGACGAGTAGCAGATCGAAAAGCAAGGGCAGGCACAAACCGTCCTCAGAGGCCCTCATCGCCAACGACGAGTTGGACTACTCACCTGAGTAGCGGGGCGAGCAGGGGGACGCCGTGCTGCCAGCCAGCCAGGAAGGGCCTGCGGCTTCCCTGCCCCGTCCTGTCCTCCACCACCACCCCCTCACCTCTGGTCCTTGGGTCACACGCCGCGACCGCTGCCGACCCCAAACCAAACCCACCCGAGGGCTTTGCCAGCTGAGTCCCAGCCAGGGAATGCTGGAGCCCTGGTACCTGCCGAGCCCCACTTGGCGCCCAGTGGGAGATGTGCCAAACTGAGGGGGCTCTGAGAGGTGGAATAATCCACGTGGGGGGACGAGATGGGTTTCCCTCGGGAAATAGTGACCCTGTGGCCACTCCTATGTGTTTGGCACTTTCTTAGCACGTGTGCTTTTTCCTCTAACCACCCAGCAGTAATAGCTTAACCAGAGGGACAGGCAGGTAGGACATGAAAGTGAACCAGCTTCATCCAAGGGGGTGGCTCAGCTCAGTTGGCCCCATCACTTGGAGTTTTCATGGCTGTTCCAGCACAAAGTGTACGCAACAAGGCCACTCCATGATGGTCCCCAGCCCTGAATCCAAAAGTCTTAAATACCAGGATTCAGTGTTAGACCATGTCTTGCACTGCTCTAGACAGTCTCAAACAAAACCTGAAATCCTGGCATAGTCAAGCATCCTGAATCTGGACTTGGCCTCATTTCAGATCACATCTGACCTAGACTTATGCAAGCAGTCAGCAAACCCCACACAGTGTCCCTGAGATTGAACTGGATGCTGTTCCCACCACTTTGTCTTTCCGAAAACAGCCAGCCCATTGTCTGTGAACTGTTGTGGGCAAATCCCAGCACTCATTCTGGCCTCCATGCTATTTCTAACCTTGGCTTGGTGGATAATGTGTGAAAAGATACAAAGATGCTGCTTGTTCTAGAGACACTTCTAATGTGAAACCAAAAGGAATGACTGGGAGGGCTTCAGGATGGGAGGGTTTGGTAAAAGGACCTGTTAAGCTTCACTCTGGACCCTCTCCTGCTGCCCAACCTTGCTACACTTCCACAAGCAGCAACCCAAGAGCATCCCACCCAAAAGCCTCCACAATGCCCATAAGCTCTACCAATCCACTTGGGGATCTGTCCTACACGCCTATCCCCAGCGGTGCTGCAGCCCTCATGATGCTCACTTGTGCCCCGCTGCTCCCCTGAAGGATGCTTTTGAGATACCCAGGACAGATGGCACCTGGCAGGTCTGGCTTCATGTTTTCAGGGAGAAAGATTGTTGCTGTTTTCCTACCAGCTCTCAAACTAAACCATGGGGTGGTCATCCTTGTCCCACTACCGCACGGTATTTAGGCATCTGCTGGGTAACAAACACGTGCCCAAGTACCCTGCTGAATCGAAGCCTGTTGTTCCTTTTGCAGCCTTAATCTCTTGCTACAGAGCAGTTTGCAGTACCAGTGTGTGTTGTTGTGTCCACCTGAGTATCATTTGGCAAGAGCCTGCTCCCTTGCTCTTTGGCGTCTAGGCACCTGTCATTGTATCAGCGTGTTGAGCGGGGGCCTGGGGCTGCTGTGGTTCTCCTGCAGCCATCCACCATTCCTCGTTCCTTCTCCATCTTTTCCCATCCCTTCTCCATCCCTCACCCTTCCCCATCTCCATCCCATCCTCATCCATTCCCAGGGAAGCAGGGAAGGATGCCCACAACTCCAGGGCCACCAGCAAAGATCATTTGGTCCGTCACCTCTGGGCAGCATTGGCCTAGGGCCAGTTTGGGATGCTGAGAGGGACCAGGAAGCTGGCACAGGTGTTGCTGTAACCCAAATACTTCTCCATGCCCTAAAAGGAGATTTTCACGCAGCCGCCACATTACAGAAGAGCATTGCCAGCACCACCACTGTCCCGCTCCATGCCAGGAGCCAGCATCCTGTTGCTGGAGCCCAAAGCATGACCCAGATGGAGCAGAAATACCTCACATCCCCCAGACCAACCCGGTGAGATCTTGGTCCCTCTGCAGGTTGTGACCACAGCAGCACGACCCAGCACGCACCCTCTGCACAGCAGAGCTCACGCCCCGAGCGACGCCGGTGTGACAGCCCCAGCTTGTAAATGATCCTCACTCCTCTCGTTTTGTTTTTGGTCTTTCTGATGTAGATCTTGCTCTTTTTTGCAGACGGTACTTTCTGGTGTAACAGTTCTCTGCAGTTCTGATATGAAATTGGTGTATTTGTTAAAAGAGTTTGTTAAATTATTTTCTTTAATTTTATTTTTGTGGTTTCCAGAAGCCCATTGGTGCATTGTACAATGGGGTCTTGTAGTGTGTCATGAGAAAGAAAAAAATATGCAGATATGTTATGGAGTGATTTTTATTTTCAGATGATTGTGTTGTTGAAAATGATACATATATATGTATATATATATTATCAAGATACTACGAAAGAAATCTAAATTTACCAAAATCTGTATATTTTAATAAATGCATAAAGCTTTATTGTGTGCCTTTACATTACAACAGACAGACAAATGAACAGGAACCAATGGATTTTTAAAGGAAGTCAGAGACAAATGTGTCTCAGCATCGACTTCCATAATAATGTAAATCTTTTAAATGAAAGAATAAATAAATTAAAAAAAAAAAGATTTTTCCCATATAATTTTGTTAAGCTGTACCTGAAAGTCCTGTATTTTTTCAGTGTTCAATAGAAGTCAGAGATGAAAAAAATCTTGCCTTAAGTGCTTCAAAATTTCCTCTGTAGAAGATGCAGTTCAATGGGCTGACTTTGGTATTTACTTGCATTGTTGTGAAAAAAAAAAAAGTGGTTATTCGTTTACACAATAAATAAAAAGAAAAGAAAGAAAAAATGAGAGCCAATGGCCACAGGTTGACTATAGCAGCACAGAGCTCACGGAGCTCCTTCGCCACGGACATGGGGATGCTCCTGGTGGCACAATGGTGGGGACACACTGTGATGAGAGGCAGTGGGTGCTGACCCAGGGAGGGCTCTGTTGGGACGTGGGGGACCTCCCCTGAGTTGGGGTGACGACAGAGCAGGCAGCACTCCATCGCTGATGCCAGGTGTGGTGTGGAGCAGCTCATTGTGTTCCAACTGTGTTTGGTTCAATTTCGAGGCTTTGATGCGATGAGCACCAAAAGCTGTTGAGTGCTGGTAGTGCCATGGCCAGCCTTGCAAAGCAACCAGGGTTCTGGGGAGTTCTATGAGATATTTTGGGGCTGTTGGTGCCTATGATCCTGGGTAGGGCGCAGGGAGGGCAAGGAGCCGAGCGCCAGTCCCTTGTGCCTGAAAATGTTGATTTGCAGCCTAAAATAAAAGGAAAAAATACCCCAAGCGATGCCTGGCAGGGCCTCGTTCTCCATTGGATCCCACATCTCCCTCCTGTTAGGATTTGCTGAGATTCCCACAGCGTTTCAGTGCATTCCTGCCCTGAGGGCTCCCTCTCTGTCACCAGTCTCAGGGCTGATGTGTGCACAATCCACAATCCCTGCCGCCCGCACAAGCTGGCACCCGCACATCAATGGCAGCACTGAGGCGTCCCTGCCGAGCACACAACAACCAACTGTGCCCTGCTGTGATGTCATGGGCACAAGTGTCCTGCACAGCCCTGGGCTGCGCCTCTGGGGCTGCTGGAGCTTGAGGCAGATGCTGTGTGCTGGAGCAGCAGGGTGAGAGCCAGGGCCTGGGTCCTTATCTCCATGCTGTCGCAGAGGGAGTGCAGCCATCCTCATTCTCTCCCTTTAGCTGCTCCCATTTCAGCCTCACATCTTCCTAGGGCAAAACGTGGGGCTGCAGCATCCGTGGCCCTAGTTGGGCTCTCCAACCAAAGCAGGCCATGGATGGGGAGATCCTGATGGATGAATGAGCACATGCCAGCATACCAAGGCTTGTCCTACTGCCCTGTTTGCAGATCCCTTCCCACCACCCCAAAGCTCCTAGTGGCATCTCTGCTTGTGCACACAGCTCCGGGCTCTCCCCTTGCTTCAGCCCCAGAGCTGAAGTGTGCACCAATTACGTGGAGTGAGTTAACAGCCCTGGGAACTGATGGGGCTTGGTATCACAGTAATTGCTGCAGCCTCCAGTGAGGACAGAGATGGATCTTGATCTTACATGGTTTTAATTAAGAGCAATGACCCCAGAGCAGACTTAAACTTGAGTTCAGAGCAACAAGATTTTGGACTTCTCCAATGGGTTTCCAAGCCTCCTGGATGGGAAAAATGCCACAAACCCCAACCCTGGGATAAAACAAGGAACAACACACAAGGCTGCAGTTGGTTCCAAGCAGGAAGGTTAGCTGGCTTTTGAATACTCTCCCAAAAGCAAAGGCAGCCTTGAGTCCGCAGCAGAGCAGAACTTCTCATCTCAAATTGCTTTCAAAAAAACCCTTCAAAATCATTAGGAAACTGCGTCATGGAAAAGCTAGCTATGGAAGCACACAGGAAGGAAGGAAAAGGAGAAGGCAGAGCCACAGATACTCTGTTATTTATTGTACAGTATTTCAGTTGAAGTACAAAGGCATCATCAGTATTCACCAGAATTGCATTGTGACAGTGTAACTGTGTGTTAAAAACATGCTACAGAACAGTGAACACAGATTTATGGGATGAAAGCAAATGTAAATGTAAAAACACATTTTTAGTAACTGATCTGTACAAAGAAAAACAAAAAAAAAAAAAACAAAACAAAACAAAAACCCAAAAAACAAAACAACACTAAGAAAGAGTGTGGGGATTAGAGCCCCCAGAGTCATTGGAACTATATACAGACACTGTTACATATCGCAGCGTTAGGACCTTTGGGTTCTGTTTCCTTCATACTGATGACCCGGGGAGTGGGGGAAACAATGTTACTAAAACGATCGAATCCATACAAAAGTATTTACAGAGAAAGGCAGAAAAAATCCCCTACTGTTCCAAAAGAGAAACATTTGCCTGTTGGGAGGGTGCACCTCCCTCAGCCCTTGCTCCCAGACTGTGCCAGAGCGGTGACCTCGGGGACTGGAAAGCAAAAGGGGACGTGCAGGAGCCCTCGGCAGCGGGGAAGTGCCTCTCACGTCTGCTTTGCTGCTTTAAGCTCTCTTGATGAGCAGTAAAGTAAAAAACCCCAAACCCACCTGAGGCCCACACACCACCCCTGGGGCAGGAGGATGGGGAGGGTGAAACAGGTGGGAGTGGGGGCTGGGGCTTGTTTTCCAGAGAAGGGGACAACAGTGGGGACAACAACACTTGGGACTGCCGGGCGCTCGGGCTGCTGTTTTAAAACCTTTCCGGGGAGCACAACAGCAGCGAGTGCCAGGAGAAGTGAACCCATGTGTGCAGAGCCAGCGGGTGTGGGAGCTCAGACGTGGGCACTCTTAGCATGGGTGGGGGAGCTGGAGCCCGAGGCGTAGTAGAAGCGATTCTCGCCGAAGGTCTGAGCATCCCCCGAGCAGCAGACGATGACGCAGCCACCAAAGAGGCAGAGGGCAGAGCCGATCCAGCCCGTGTACAGGGAGTATCCAAAGCTCATGATGGTGGTTTCACGGTGGGCGCAGACGGGGAACCAGATGGTGGCTACCACACCGCACATGGCTGGGGAGACAGGAGGGGAAGAGCCGATCACAGAAAAGCAGAATCAATAGGGTTGGAAAAGACCTCTATGATCATCCAGTCCAACCTTCAGCACGACACTGAGTGTGGGATCAGCAGGAAACCCAGCAAGCCCAGGGGATGGAGCATCCATCCTTCCTTGGCCCCCCCAACACAACCCACACACCATTAGACGCGTGAAGCTTGCAGTTAGTCTCCTTCAGCTTGTATTTCCTCCGGAGGATGGCAAGGAGCCCATTCCCACACTGATCCAATGGGGAATACAACAGCATTGGCTTCAGGACTTCTGGTGCCAGAGCAGGAGAGGGGTGGGGATGCCTGAGCTGGGAGAGGTGGGGAAGGACCAGCAATAAGAAGTAGAGCAACCACTGCTTGATGCAACCTGAGCTGGCAGCGGAGGCTGAAGAATGAAAGTCAGCTCTGAAACTGGTGCTCTGGAGAGCTGCGTGTTCAGAAGGAGCTGGGAGCAGAAAATCACAGAAGCCTCATGCATTGGAGAGGCAGTAAAACCTCAACTCAGAGTCACTTGGAAGGTAGATTCCACTTCCCTATGGAAAACAGGGTCAGGTAGCGGGGGCAATGCAGCAAGGCTTCTCAAAGACCTAGTGAAAAGAGTCAGAGGGAGCACAGTGTTCAGCTTGGAGCCCACAGAGCACAACTACTGAGGGCTTCTAGTTTTGCTCCAGGCTTTTCCACAAAAGCAGGAAGGTAGCGACAAGGTGAAGAAGATCTCCATACAAAAATCCATCCCTGCATTCTCCCTGCGTCACCCCGCTCCCTGCCCTCACCCTGCACGGCCCTGCATGCAGCAGAGCCGATGGCGTTAACCACCTACAGGAGCAGGTCCTAAAACAATACCCCTTTATGGCCCGCACATCTGAGAGGAATGAATCCGTCAATATTGACTTGCCTCCGGGACAAGCTGTGCAGGACTCCATCCTTGTGGCTATCAGAGAATCGGAGCAAAACAATAACAGGGCTGTGGCAGCACTACAGATCTCCGCCGACCGCACTGAGAGAGATCTGGAGGCGGTGTCAAAAAGTTAAGGTTGCAAAAGGGGGAGAAAAAGGGGCAGAGAAAAAATAAAACTGTTTGGTTAAAGTGGAAAACAAACCATTGCTGCTGGCCGGTACAGCAGAAAGCCCATCCCCAATCGCTGTGGTTATTATGAGAAAAAATATTTTCTTATGGAAAAGAGAAGAACGCTCAGAGGATGCTAACAAAGCCAGCAATGACTTGGGGCCTCCTCAAAGCAAGGGCCCTGCAGCTCTGGGAGGGGGTTGTGGGGAAGGAGGGCTGCCCCTGCTGCAGCTCGTGAGCATCCAGAGAGGGGTCGGATGGGAATCTGCGAAGCATTCTAATGGGCTCCAGCATAAAGCTGCTTTGTTGTCCGAAAGGACACAATCATCTTTTCTTCTTCTGTCCACAGTAAATATATATATACATTGGTGTCCATAGACTATAAGAGCCTTATCCCCTCAGACCCTCCCCCACGGCGCAGCGGAGCGGACAAGGGGAGCTCTCGGGGACACTGGGACAATGGCATCTCTTGTGCAGTGGGGCAGCCACATGTAGCACCACCTTATCATCGTGCTGACAATGCTCGAAAGCTGGAAGGCCGGCCAAGGGCTGAGCGGAGCTCAGTGCAGCTGCTGGTGATCCCAGTGGGGAGGAGGAACGCACTGGGATGGCTGCTGCAGTCAGTGCAGTTTGGCAGAAAGCAAGAGGAGCAGCTCGAATCCCATAGACTTCTACCACATCTTCCCCATTGGCACCACCTGTCCCTGTGTCCCACATCCCAGTGGGTCCCAGTTCCTTCTGACCGTGCACCTGATCCATGGAGCTGAATCTCTTAACATTTGCCATTGTAGGCATGGTTTAATCCAGCACTGGAAGCGCACGTAGAATCATTAAGGTTGGAAAAGACCTCAAAGATCACCCAGTTCAACCATCCACTGATCATGTTCATAATCTGCCCTCCCAAAGCACAGAGTTGTTTCATGGAGGTTATGCAAGTGTTTAGATTCTGCTTTCCCTCCTGCCCTGAGCCACCTGCCCACACACAAGTACTGCAGTTCAAGCCATAGATCGGGTGCCATTGATTTACTGGTTGGACTTGATGAGCTTGAAGGTTTTTTTTCAAACACAAGTTGTTCAATGATTCTGTCATTTCTTCTAGGGGAAGCAGTGTGACTTACAGAGGTCTCTTAGTGCCCACAGCTTCCCAGAAGGAAAAAAGAAAAAAAAAAAAAGAAAAAAGCACTTTTGAACCTTGTTTATCTTGGGATAGAATCCTCTGAGAGAAAGCAACATCCAGAGGAATATATTAATACCATCTATTTAGAAGACAATAGCTAACATGGTCAGCTGGCAGTGGTAAATCCCAGTAACTAACGTATTTTCCATCTGTTTATCATCCTCAGGTCCCTCATTTCCCCACGGGGAAAAGATCACTTGGGTACCAGCACGGGGTCCCCCAAATTAGCACCAACAATATGGGATGGGACGGGTTTTTCCATCAACATTTCATTGGAGATGTTTTCATAGCAGCTCAAAGCAAACCACCACCGACAGCTGTGCGCAGCCATAAATCAATTCCCTTGGTCAGATAGGATCAAGCAAAGACATAAATACATCAGCATACAGGATAGGAGGGTGTGCACACATGCTGCACTCTGCGGCCTGCTATTATCAGCGGACAGGAAAATCAATGGAATATCTGAGCCCATTGTTTTCCTGGCAAGTTTTCAACTATTTTTTTGTTTCTCTCTCTTTTTCTCTCCGCGATTTCACGCTGTGTTTCAACCCCTTCTTTCCTTTTTAACAATTTCTGTCCTAAATGCCATCTTCTCCCTGAGCAACACGCAACATGTGCCATGGAGCCAACTCCAGTGATTGCATGCCCACTTGATATATCTGCAGAGTTTGTGGGTCTGGATTTGTTTTCTTCTAGCCAGATCTCTGGGAGCTGTGCTCAAGCCTTGATGTTGGGGGGAAAACACAGAAACCCACGAGTGAGACATCAGTGGCCAGAGAATAAATAAGAACAGCCCATGACAGAAAGACTTTTAAGCCAGCGTTATGTCTTTTGAGGCCTGACATTCATACTTATTGAATGCTCTGGAATGGTGACACTTCATTTTTCCAACAACAGATCATTAATCAGCTTAAACAATGTCAAAGTCCCAAGCTCTGTGCATTACTCTCTTTCCAAGGGGACTGATTTGCTAACCAGCCTGGAAAAACAAATGGGTTCTGTACGAAAAAGTGTGGGTTGGTTATTTTTTGTGAAAAGTTTAGGAGCCAAAGGAACACGTTGATCCTTTACCATTGCCCAGATCACACAGGGATAACAACCAGCAATAAGGCCAAACCTGACCCAAAGTGCACCTGCTAACCTTCATCCTTGTTATCTCTTCTCACTGGCCTTCCACCATGGCAGGACCAGACCCAAAGCCCTGCTTCACCCCCACAGAGCTCCGGGGTTTCACTTGTTCTCATGCAGTGTGACTCATTGTAGTCACTGCCACGTCTGCTGCTCCTGCAATCCTGCTGCCCCACCGCAAAGCAGATTTAGGAGCAGTGCTCTCAGCCACGCAAAATTAGGCTGGTCTACAGCACAGCTCTTCTTGCCCAAAACTAACATTTTCCATTTGTTTGCCACGAAGCGCAGCTCTGGTGGGACTCCCTCAGCTCCCAGACCAGAGATAACAGCAGAACAGACTCTCCTGTTGCTACAGTGTCACTGACAGCATGAAAAAAACCCTTTTGTTCTCTGCCAAGGCCAGGTCTGTGACTGGAGGTTTCAGGACAGGGATAAGGGACACATTCCCAGAGCTCTCCAGTGTGACTGCAACTGACAGGATGTCCTAAGCAGGCCTGTAGAGCTGATGTTAGCATTTCCAGCTGTAGCAACAGCCCCTGAAAGCCCACAGCTATTGGAAGACCTCTTTAGTCTCACTCTTAAATTTCAGACGTTGACTCATCCTAACTGTTCCTCACTGGAGCACAGGGACTTTGTAGGAGGAAGATACAGAATCATAAATGCTGGAAAAGATATCTAGGACCACCAAGTCCGACCCCAACCCATTTCCCCATGCCCACGTCCCTCAGTGCCGCATCCCCACAGCTCTGAACCAGGGACGGTGACCCCACCACACCCTGGGCAGCTGTGCCACTGCATCACTGCTCTTTATCAGAAGAAATGTTTCCTAATACCCTGAACCTCCCCTGGTCCTATCGCTGGGAGAAGAGACCAAGGCCCACCTCACTTGTTTTTAACGTTATTCAAACTGGTAGAATGGTAGATGTGCCAAAGCTGGGTGGTGGGGACCTCCCACCAGAGTACGGAGGGATCTGCTGCACAGGGCTCCATCCCTCCTTGTCCCCATGCCTCCCCAGCTGGAGACATGCAGCTCCATGTGGCGCCCACTTGAAAAAAACCTCAGGAGAAGCAGAAGAAAGAGGAGCAGGGTGATGTCAGCGCTGGCTGCCGACGAGCAGCAGAGCCGCACAAAGGAGCCACTCTCCCTCTGCCCCCTCCTCTGCCAAGCAGACGGGTGAAAACAAGGCCCCGCAGCCTGTGGCTGGGGTGACGAGGCCTCAAGAACACGCAGGTGCCGTGTTGGGGACAATGAGCTTCACAGGCTGAGCTGCACAAAACAATCTCCTCTGCAGGCTCCGCGGATGGGAAGAAATCCCAAGGACAAGGCTGGCAGGAGGCACAGGGCTGCGCTCCCCCCGGCGCCTGGCCGCCTCCTTGCTGATGTCCCAAAGGAGCAGCACCCAGTGCCCATAGATCTGCCCTCCCTGTCACACACCGCACCATCCCAAAGCGGAGGAGGCCGGGCCGTGCCTTACCCAGGAGGATGATGAGGATCCCCCCCAGCTGGGAGCGGCGGTACTTGGCGGCGCCGGGCTCGTGGCCCATCCGGATGCAGGGCAGCACGGTGATGAGCAGGAAGATGGCGGGGAGGCCCAGCACGGAGGCGGCGATCATCAGCGCTCGGCACGCCTGGACATAGCCTGCGGGTGGGGTGAGAAAGAGGATCTGGGTTATTTGGCTCAAAAGGAGGAGAACTTTGGGCAAGCGTTGCTGCCCCAGGAGCTCCCAACACCTTCACAGTGTGCAAGCGATGGATTCTATGGTTCTACGTAACCCTTTGTGTAAGCAAATCCCCGGCAGGCGTGAGACAGTCAGTGTGCAGCTCAGAGATGTGCGAGGCCAACAGTTTCCATGGAGCGAGGAATGTCTTCCCAGCAAGATGTTGGGAGATCATGAAGCTGGGAAAGATGGTAGTGAGTGAAACAGCTGGGAAGGGGTTTTCCTACAGCTTTTCAGCCTTGGAGCAGCCACACTATTCCTCAGGACTCTATGCACACACGGGGTGCCCCAAGCTTTCATCACCAGCACAGCTTTCCTGCCCTGGAGCAGCCAGGAGCAGCAGGTCGTGGGGCTGCACGTGGCAGTGTTCCTTAACTCCTGTTCCAGTGCTCCCTAAGGAGTTAAGGGCAGAAAGTGAGACCTAAACAAAGGAGATGGCAATGCCCAGCATGGCCTCTGTGTAACCAGTCCCAAGTAAACAAGCATACAAACAAGACACAAACATTCCAGCTTAAGGACTTGGCTCGGTGGAGGACTCCAGACACAGTTCAGCTGGAGGGAGGGAACCAACAGGGATCCCATGGGCAGCAGAGGGGCTCAGAGTGGGTACAGGCAGAAGGATCTCACTTTGTGATCAGCTTCTGCCGCAGAGAAACACTGCTTTCTTTTGGGGGAAGGCTTTATTTTCTCATTTATAAAGTTTAATTCAATGTTTTGTCAAGATAAGCCATTTTCCTGCCTGCTGCGCTGGATCAAAGTGAACAACAGTAGCTATAAGGAAGGCAAGTCTACTGAACTGTAAGTACTGACAGGGAGAACAGGAGCTGGTCTGAGAGGTCCAGCACTGCCAACCCCTGTGTAACAGGGGCTGGGCGTTGTATCAGAGGGGATTTCAGGAGTGACCTCTCTAACCACTGTGAAGTTATTTCCACAATAATTGAAAATAGATAAAGAAGGGAAAGATGAACAAAAAACAAGGGACGTGTATTTCTAACCTACTGGCTTTGGAAGGGGCACTCTGACGAGGTGAAACACAGCATGGAAACACCATGGAGTTAACAACATTTGAAATAGGTGAAATAATTAGCTAAAATAACCAGCTAAACTACAGGGACAAGATCACACACAGACCTTGGCAGGTTCAGTTAGCCCCAAAGATGCATTCATCCTGGAGAAACACTTGGCTTAGATTTTACTTTGCAATAAAGTAAATGCCTTATGATTAGAAAGTAACGAGATCATGCAGGGAACAGACATGACTATGCTAAGAGCTCCGCCATGCAGTAGAGCACAGAGGAAGCACAGGACTGCCAAAACCAACGACAAACTTCCAAAAGATTAAAAGCCACAGCAGCATTAACAATGGATGCCACGAGGTTCATCCTTCTCAGCATCATTTCAAGGAATAGATCCTTCAAATTTGAGTGGTTCATCATCATCACGAGACAGAACTGAAGCACAAAGAACACTGAGATACAACAGTAGGTTTTGCAGCGCAGTCTGGGGATGAGATGGGAAAGGAACAACTTGTTAACAGTTTGTTAAGAGCAGAGGTTGGTAGAATAAGTGGACTTTAATAGCCACAGATAAATATTATATAATAAGGACAGCTAGAACCAGCTGTAAGTCAGTGAGCACCCACCGTGTTAGGAGGCACCACTTAATTCTCTGCATTGTTTAAGGAACCACCTTAACGTTGATGGATGGAGCTCCACCATCGACCACCCTGCAGTGGGGCACAGCCTTGCTCAGTGGGGTGGAGAGCCGGGGAGCGTACCTGGCAGGATGAGGATGTCCACCAGCGGCTTGCAGTGGTAGAGGCCCGTCGCCATGACGCAGTCTGCCCACAGCCCCTTGGAGCCCAGCTCGTCCATTTTGCGGCAGGTGGTGATGGTGTAGCCGCAGGTCACCACCCAGTCGTTGGTGGCGGTGGCCACCACCACCCCGATCCACCCGATGAAGCTGCAGACAAACCCGGCCAGGTGCAGGCAGGTGGCCACCATGTCGACGCGCCGGGCTCGCGGGACGGGACGGGGAGAGCGGGGCTGGGAGAGGCGGCGCGGAACGGGCTGCGACCCGGAGCTGCCGGAGCTGCGAGCAGCCGGGACCGGAGACGCCGGGAAAGGTCGTCGAGCTGCACTGGGCGGCACCGAGCGGCCTCTGCCCCTGGGAGGGGTCGGCGCTGCCTCCGGCCCCGCTCCGTGGGAGGAGCGAAGGGGAGCCCCGACTCGCGCGTCCGTCACCGGGCCGGGGGCGAGCGGGGAGTTGCCGGAGCGGGGCGGGCAGCCCGGGCAGCGAGACGCGGCTCCGGGGTGCAGCACGGCGGCGCTCCTGAGCTGCAGCCGTCCCGCTGCCGTCGCCTCGTGGGTAAATAGGGAAGGAAGCTGGCGGGACGGGGAGCCGAGCAACTGCCGGTGCGACGCCGCGGCCGGGCGCTGCGGCGCGGAGGACCGCTGGTGGGCAGCGGAGGAAACTGCAGCGGTCATCCACGTCTCCATCGCCCCTCACCTGCGGCACCGGGTTCATGGAGGCGGCAGCTGCAGGTGGGGTTAATCCTTTCCTCTGCGTACAGAATCACAGAACACAGAATGGCCAGGGTTGGAAGGGACCTCAAGGATCATGAATCTCCAACTCCTCTCCACATGCAGGGCCACCAACCTCCCCATTTAATACCAGCCCAGGCTGCCCAGGGCCCCATCCAACCTGGCCTTGAACACCTATAGGGATGGACGGGGCATCCACAGCCTCTCTGGGCAGCTGTTCCAGCACCTCACCACTCTCATAGCAAAGAACTTCCCCCTGACATCCAACCTCAATCTTCCCTCCCTCAACTTAAAAACATTTCCCCTCATCCTGCAGTTACCTACACTTTCAAAGAGCTGATTCCCCTCCTGTCTGTAGGCTCCCTGTAGGTACTGGCAGGCTGCAGTGAGGTCACCCCGCAGCCTGTAGGCGCACACCCGGCTGTAGCTGCTCCTTCCTCTCCCCTCCCTGCCTATTGGAGCTCCCTGACGGCAGGTCGCCGTGTTGAGCATCATAACCATCCACTGCACAGAATGGAGCCGCTGCAGGGTAGTTTTCACCATCAGTAAATAAAAATATTTTTCATCAAATGAAGTACAACACTCACTTCTAACGTTAAATGTTTATAGATCTCAGCGCTTGCCCTGGCAACGCGTGTTATCTCTTCATTACCCATCTATTAAGGAGAGGTGTGAACAACTCCAACGTTGCTGGAGGACTTAAGCAGCAACAAAAGCTGTGCACCAGAGAACATGCCAGCTACACAAGTGGTTCTATTTACGTACATCTGAGCTGCAATGCACAGATATCCCACTGCCAGCAATACCTGCATGGAGCCTCAGGGAAAACACCCACTGTGAGAGGGCGCTGACTTGGTAGATCTGCTAAAAATATCCATTAGAAAACCGGGGGCCTCCTGCAGGCAGTGGGAACGGTGCAAATTTCAGTGTCATCAGTGTCTTAATTGATTGTAATCAAAGCGAGGAAGACGGTCCTCCCTGGAGATGCTCCATAGTTTAACACCTTCCTGATGTCTAGCTGGCATTTCACTGCACAACACCACAAAGACCCGAGTGTTCTGATGGTACAGTTTTTATTTTTGAATCCACAATCTGTACACGTATTTACAAGGCATGAAAATGGATAACAGCACAAAATACAATTGAGGTATAAGCTAAGAGCACAGTATGTCATGTTTCAATAAATATAATTCAAAATTTGTAAACTAAGTGACCAGATAGATGCATTTTGTTTACTAAAACCATATAAAATATCTGTTAATCTCACGTGAGGTAGAGGACAGTTTTGTGTGTCATGTAATGCAACCACAGCAACGCTAACAATAAGACTGTACATCATTGGCAAAGTATTACAAACTGTTGAATGCAGCGATGGATCTCACAGGCTTGCTGAGGTTTGGAACAGCCACCAGCTGCTGCCTCCAGCCCAGCAGAGCGCTGTGTTGCTTTGCAGCCACCTTCTGTAATCCAAGACAGTCACACTGGCATGTCAACACCAATAAATACTTTTGAGAGTGAGCGTGAAAACAAAAAGAGATTTTCATCAATCACAGGAAGCAACGTAACTGCAACAAAATATTTCAGACCAACTTGGCCAGTCCTAGATCTATTTTAAATACAGTGTAACTGTGCTTTCCTTTCAGTGAGGTATCTATATTGGAAGAAAACCAGAGAGTCAATTGATGTTGTTACGGAGGCAGTTTTCCAATAACAAAATTTCATACCGTTTGTTTGCTGTGCTTGACGAAGTGCTTTGCTCATTTTTCAAGCATTTCCCAGCAGAACAGCTAACGCTGAACGAAACTGGTTTGATAAATAATGGAGACACACGAGCTTTCATGCCATCTGTGAGCTGCAGCCACTGACGTTCACAAAAGCTGAAAATATGGATCTGTTTTTCAAAGAGATATGCAACAAACTGAACATCCTATAAGCTCTCTATAATGAAAACATCGATGAATACTTCTCACATCAATGAGCAAAACAAAAAACTGAACCTTGCAGCTTATTGCAGCTTGCTATTGACAGCTGAAATAAAACTACTGGAAGATTTCAAGCACAGATTAACAGGTAGGTGGGATTATTCTGTTGTCAACTTCACCGTATTATAGAAAACTCTTGTGTGGATTAATTACATGAATTAAGTGCAGAAAAAATACAAAGTCGTTCTCTTTGCTGACAGTCAAAATATATGCTCTACAAACAAGTGAACTCAAGGAAGCTGACCATGACAGCCAGCTCCACAGCTAACGCTAGGAAAGTCTTCTGAATAGTCCATAACATGGGACAGCAATCCAACCCCCAAGATAAACCAAGAATGTATGAACAAACAGTTGTGACTTCTAAAACATGGACCGAGCCACATTTTTTTTGGGCCACCAGAAGCTTCAGGCTTCCACCCAACTTTTCCTACTTCACTAATTGCATTATGCCTTCACTATATACAAACGATTTTACACCTAAGCTATAATATATTAAATATAGAATAAAATTAGTAGAAGAATGTGAAACAGAACCACATTTATCGAGCTCAACGATATGCTTTACAAAAACTGAAACACGAGTTTGGAGATCTGAGATGACATCTCTTCCATCCAGGGTACTGTGAGCCAGGGTACTGCCAGGCTGCCAAAGCTGCACGCTGTACTCTCTGAGTTCTCACATCTTCCCGCTCATCAGAGCACACAAAGCATGTGAAAGTCCTTTTTTGTTTTCCTGACACATAGGAGCAAACAGACATTCACCCTGAATCCGAGTTCCAGAAGGTGCACACACAGGCAGCTTTGTTTTCACTCTAGGTGCTCAACCAGGAAACTATTAAAACACTGAACAACTCTAGGCTTTATTTGTATTTTTTTTTCTCCTCTGAAGACTTAATGCCTCAACTATGTGAGAAAGCAACTTTCTGCCTGGAAAGCAAATGAAAGCTGAAGGCAAAACAAAGAGAAATGCATCAGACGAGCAGAACCTAACGACAGAACTGGCTTCTACCATTAAGTGTGTACTTAAGTGAGGGCCCTGAAGTGTTCATTGCAAGATTCTATGTTAGGTTGTAAAACAAACCACTCAATATAACAAGCATAAGGTAGAGAGAAAAGGTCAATGTGGATTTGTTCTAGAGCTACCAGAGTGTTATTTACAACTCACTCAAAAACTATCTGTCAAAGACTGAACGCACAAAATCTATGGCACAGTTATGTTTACATTATTACTTAAAACCAGTATAAAATTAAGTCTACACGTATGAAAATTATTTATGTAAGCAACCTGAAAGTAATATTGAAGAATTTTAAGAGGATTACAATAATTTAAAACGCATTCTAACTTTAGATTAACTAAATGGAATATTTACAAAGCTATTTTAAGGTCATCTCAACAGATGTCCAGCTAACTTTTTCAGCCAGATGTCTTACAAGTATTAGGAACTCTCACCTGCAGCTGGAACTGCTAAAACTCTATGCCAGCTGCTAGAGTTCTTGCAGAAGTGAAAACAGGAGTACAAACTATGGCTGCCTTCAGCAGAAGCTGGTTGGCACAGCAGAAGTGCAGGCTGGGGCAGGGGAAGCCCAGCAATAGCAGCAGCTGCCACAGGTTGAAGTCAACCAGAGGTGAAGTGGGAAACCTCAGAGCAAGGAACGTCACACAGACAGGATCTGAATACAAACTGAAAGTACAGTGCTCTAAGATCATAATCCCATGAGGATTCCATTCGTTTGACAGCTAAGCTACAAACACTGCAGTGAACCCATCGCTTCAGCCATACGAAGGGGAGGGCCTTATCTACACTGACAACTGAACAAGTTTGGTTCACAACCCTGATACTGAAAAGCAGCTAGAAATGATCAGATAACACCCCAATGAAACCTTCTGGTTTCCCAGGCTGGTGTTTCCTGACTCGTCAATCTAGCTGATCCAGCCTTGAGCTCCAGTGCCTCACATCACTCTTCTACCAACACTGCTGCCATTTTTACTCAGCACATTCGCTTCCTTCCAAACCATTGCTATGCTGTAAAGACAGTCTTTTTTTGTTTTTGTTTTTGTTTTTAAGCAATAATTTGGAGATGGAGTTGAAGAAGATGTGAAAAACATCATCTGGATCCCCTCTTCTGATCAACATTGCCAAATAAGTTTCATTTCTTTTCATCTAATCTGCCCTAATGATCAGTGTAAATATGACACAGGGTCCATAAAGAAAATCACGCACTGGTACGAAAGACTCATTCTATGACTCCACAACATGTATCACCTCCTTTCTCACTCAGCTTAAAGAGTTGTGCCATTTTCTATTTCTGTAAAAGAGAGCTAAGAAAGAACTCAGTTTTCATTTTCACGAGTTCAGAATAAAAACTGATGCCAGTGGATTTTACTAGTGGTTTTATCCAGAATTAATCAACTTCTTTAAGAGAATAATAAACCTAAGCACCTTAAAAAAAACAAACAGCAAACGTAAGCTAGAACAC